GTCCACTGCTGCTACTTCTCGATGCATACCCTCGTTGACTTTCAGGAAATATTCCCTGAGGCTGCACACCTCACGGTTGTGAAGGGTCTTAGCATTTAATAAGCCTCGACCAGGACCACCACACTTCCGCGGGATGTACAACCTCATGACCGACGAACGAGGGTGATGCATGCGATTTCTTAATTTCATCATTATCATCATTATTTATTGCATTGCATGCTATTTAGATTCTAAATAGTCATACTAGTGATGGTTGACTGCTGAACTAGATATCTAGAGTCCATTTCACGAAAGAAGTCCCGCAGACGCAGCGCTGTATTCGCGCGACATAATGTTGCCACGGTTAAATTTATATAGTATGGGGAAATCAGGAGAAATTGACATTAGTTTGATTAACTACGTACTCGAACAGTTCGAGGAATATTTTAAAAATAATGTCTTTTTATATAGGTATTTATGTTTATACTGCTAAGGTCAGATTAGTGAAAAATTAATCTTCCTGTAATTTCTAAAATATAAAATGGAAATAAAGATGTTCAACCAACATCAAATTAGAAACATAAAATAACATTTAAAAAGTTTTATTAAAGTTTTATTGAATAATTATGATCGGTCATACTATGATCACTGTCAGAAGAGTGAATAGAAACAGAATTAGATTCTGTTTCATTATCACTAGCCGTAGATATAATAAATCGATGCATTTCTTCATCCATAAGACCATCATTTTTTAAATATTCTTCCTCCAAATGCTGTACATGTTTGCATTGAACTGCCCAATCTTCCGCTGTAACAGTCTCGAACGCCTCTTCTGTTAGGCGTACAATTTCTTTTGGATCTTGGCCCACGTTTTTAACCGCTACCCGTCTGTTTATAACACACGACTCTCCGACACACCTGCAATAAAATGAACAATTAAAAAAAATCTAACAGTGACTTTTTCCGCATTTAATTATATTATTGTTGAATACAATTTTACAAATTTTTGTTGTGTTATGTTAATTCCTCATTAAAAAAACTTAAGTCTAATTGGTAAAAAATATGTTTAATATGGCAGCCCCAAAATTTACCTGTTATGGCGGCAACTCTTTTGCGAACATTGTCTAATGGTATTAAAACGCCGCGATTCTTCTGTTCCGCTTCACAGAACTCTTTCAATTTTAATATCATTTCTCGACCTGCACTTTTTACAACTTTTGGCATCGTAAATAAACCTTATAATGCACTAATTTAATAATAAACTCACAAAATATCTACCACAACAAACCCACCTTGACAACATCGACAATATTCGACAAACGACAACATGGCCGAACTCCCCATTTGTCAAATTTAGTTCCACAAATGTCCGCGGGACTTCTTTCGTGAAATGGACTCTACGAGCATGACTTCATTTTAGAACCCGTATAAGGTCAAAAGTTTGACATTGATGATTCACTGTCATCAACAGCTTAAAATTCCGTCCACTGCTGAGCAAACCGTCTTCTCACACGGAGAGGATTTGAGCATAGATCGCCACGCTTGCACAATCCGGGTTGGTGATTTCAAACTAGAAATTATAAGCCAGTTTCCTCACTATGTTTTCCTTCACCGTTTGTTAGAGTAGATATTTATTGTGTAAAATTGAACCTGTCACCTGTTTCAGCGTGTAAAATAAAATTTTTATTTTCCTTTCTAAACAATAAGCTAGGGTCATTGCTAGAAAAAGTGGATTTAGAAACAAGGAAACAAATGATATTCCAACACGATAGTTGGCCAGCGCACTAGTTATCGAATTATTGTGCGGCAATGGCTCGATACCTCTGGTTTCTAAGGCGTTGGCGTGTGCGTTACCCAGGCCAGATGTCGAAAATGGCCATTTGAATCTTATACGTAAGTACTATACTAGCGGACCCAACAGACGTCCTGCATATCCATTTGAATGTATAAACAAAAATTCATTCAAATTACCTAGTTCAGCTGTTTAGGATAAATAACCTAAACATCGACTGCAGCGCCATCTGCCGGGCTGATTTGTGAATCGAAACCGTTCCCAGATCCCCTTGAACACACACAAAAAATTTCATCAAAATCGGTTCAGTGGTTTGAGAGAAGTTCAGTGACATACACACTCACAGAAGAATTATATATATATACACGGTGATATTTTAATGGTTGTTTTCCCACAGTAAAATGATTCTATTTTAGTAGTACAATAGATTGAGAAAGTTGTTTTTAATTTAAATAAAAAAATAGCAGTTTTACGATAGTGATACACGAAACTTGAAAGAAACCGCGAACCAATAGTACCACCGCGACCGGCCACCGGCCGCTGTCATTGTCGCTCGCGCTTATCAAAAGGCTGATAACTCAGTATTTACTAACAAGTGATTTCCATTTTCCCTTCATACTTTAACGGGCTTAGGACCGTCGTAAATACTTTTTAACTACACTTACTAAACACAAACATAAAACAAAATTTAATCAAGAGATATTATCTTGTTTATTACTGAATTTGGGAAAGTATTTATGGCGTATTTAAAAAATGGGAATCAACGTATTTACAATGATTTTAATCACCTATCTTATTGTTTTATTTACAAATGTACAAGTACTTACACTTCCCGGTAACGGAGCAATTGTTCAAAGTGTAAGCCACCGCGTTCCACACACAATCGTGCACGTTTTAACTGATTGGCTTTCAATTTTAATAATGTGTCTCTGTCACGTCTAATCACATCAAAAGCGTCCACTATCGCACTTTTTAACGCGTCGCGAGTTTCGTACTCTTGCCGATACACAAGGCGTTTGAGATTAGACCACAAATAAAAGTCTAGTGGAGTAAGATCCGGGCTTCGTGGTGGCCATGGCACTGGCCCGCCACGACCGATCCAACGCTGGGGAAACACCGAGTCGAGGTGCTCTCGCACGGCGCGCTGATAATGCGCAGGGCAACCATCGTGCTGGTAATACAGGCCATCCATGGGCACTGCTAACGGAATGTCATCTAGTAAGTCCGGGATAACACTACGTAGCATTTGTAGGTACGTTTCACCGGTTAAGTGTCCTGTCACAAAATGCGGACCAATTAAGCAGCCGTTTATTATACCGGCCCACACGTTTACACTAAACCGCACTTGATGCGCACATTCCCGAATAACGTGTGGGTTATTAAAAGCCCAAAAATCATAATTCGCCCTCGCGTACAATTGCACCATAGCTACGTACTCCACATTAGAAAAAACGTAATGGCGATCCATTTTGGCGGCAATAATATTGTACTGCGCTTGCGTGGTTGCGCGGACGGCGTTCGCGGTGCGACTGGTGTGAATGAAAGCGATGCGAGGCGATGCGGGCCGATGCGAGTGACAGAGAGCGCGGTGGTTGCCTTTGTTGTTTGTCGTGAGGCGATCCGCTCGCGCGCGCGTGCATTGCAGTTTATGCTGTATTACTTAGTCCGAGAGATTATTTTACTATGAACATTGATTTGACGTCACATTTTAGAAGAGAAACTATTGTTTCTCATGCTTTCGAGTTGATGATTATTTTTTTGAGTATATGAGGAGAAAAAACATTATTTTTTCAAAAAGTAACTTGCATTATTCGATAGTACTACTAAAGGGAAATCGTTCTGCTGCGGGAAAACAACCATCAATATGTCAGCGTGTATAAAGATTGTATATCAGAAAAGTTTGTTTTTACCGACTTCAAAAAAAGGAGAAGGTACTATGTTCGGCTGATTATTTTTTTTTGTTCTCACTGTACTCCGCCATTTGTGAACCGATTTCCAAAATTCTTATTTTGTTTGAAAGGGCATACTCCCGAGTGATCCCATTTCCATGAGGTCAGGATCTGATGATGGGATCCTTGGGAAACCGAGGGGAACTATCGAAAATTCTATGGGCGAATAATGCGTCTATTATGTTTTTCAATTACGATTTTTAAACACTACAATTGAATAAGGTCTGGAGTCGACCTGTTGATGGAGCCGACAGACAGTCGAGGGAACTCCTCAGCGGTTTGTATTAACTACCTTGTGTTTGGGATTGATTAATTTGTATTGATGAGGACTTTACACCTAGATAAAGTGGGGCTGTCATTAAGGGTCTGATGATGAAAAAGTGTAATTGTTTAACGGACTCCTCGACGATATACAGTAACTACCTTGTGTTTGGGCTTGATTGATTTGTATTGATGAGAACTTTACACCTATGTAGATTATAAGTACTTAACAAAACGGGTAGTGACAAATGGGTAATGAAGCTTTACACTGAAAATGATAAAATAATAAAATAAAAACTGCGTATAAAAAACCAAAAACTAATAATGTTGATGTGATGTGATGTGAATGTTTGAACGCGCTAATCTCCGGAACTACAAGTCTGATTTGAATAATTATTTTTGTGTTGGATAGCGCATTTACCAAGGATGGCTATAGGCTATAAAACTACGCTACGATCTATAGGAGCTGAGCAGAGCGCGTGTAACCGCGCGGAAGTAGCTAGTAGACAATAAATATTATACTTCTCTGTCGAGGAGACACTGGATCTTACCGGACACCGGACGCTTTCCGATGCTAAAGATCCCATACTTATTATGCTCTTTGATAAAGACTACTTTTGAATGAATTTCGTTATTAAAAATGTACAAGTTGCCAGTGAAAAAAATATTATCTCACATGCATGTCTCATTATTTGCCAAAGAGGAAAACAGCTTTCTGCCTCGCACAGTAAAACTGGAATGATTTGTCGTCGGCGGTATTTCCGAACCGATACGACCTTTAAACCTTCAAGAAAAGAGCGTAGGCATTCCTTTTTAAAAGGCCCTGCAACGCACCTGTGACTCCTCTGGTGTTACGGGTGTCCATGGGCGGGGATGATCGTTTGCCTCCTATTTTATTCACTGATACGATAGACATAATAATATACTGTTTGGCTAAAAAAATATTACATCTATGCTCCTATTCCATAAAAATAATAAATAAAAAAACGTCTTATCCAACTCTATGCCAAAAAGCAATCAATCAAAAAGTAAAGTCAACTCGAATTGTCAAATTGTTATGTTAAATGTTTGCATGGTTTGCATGCTTGTGATTGTAAATGGTTTTCGCGCATATATTGATTTGTTGAATTATTAGAACAGACGTGATATCACTCATTTTAATTACTTTCAACAGAATATAGTGGCTTAGTTGGTATCACTGCACACTGTCAGATATCATCAGCATTCTAACCTCAAAACCGCTGAATTACGAACAGTGTCCTGTAATCTTCGAATAAGTTGGAAATAAATTGTAAGAGTACACTATTTCAAGAGTGTATTAGAAGAAGTAAATGAGTAAATCTTAAAACATGGCAATGAATATACTGCCAAGGCTCCTGACTCGACGAGGTTTACGTAAAATGTAAGTCCAAACTATTATGTATTACTGCCAACAAAGTCACATGCTCGCATCGGATGGTTTATGAAATACTAATGTAGTTCGTTATTCTTAATATGATAAGTTTTATAAATATAGAAAAGTTACTAGCCTATTCTAATAAATAAATTCACATTTAAATCTGCCATTTAGCTAAAATTGTAAATGTCCTTACACTCAAGATCTACTGATATAGGTACATATTTGCATTAATTTATTGATTTACTTTCCAGATTATCAGAGGGCACAAAGCTAGCTGGTGCTGAAGTTGTTTCAGTCAGCTTACTGAACAATATCTGTATTCCTTATTCAACAGTCAACCATGAGCACCTTTTAAGACAATTCAGAAGTAAAACACAATACTATCAAAAGTATTATTCTATTAAAGCAGCACACCAAAGTGTTGTAGATGATTATCGCAATGAACACAACATCACTTGCATTGGAGAAGATATACCTAACCCATACATAGAAATAGAGAAGAGTGAATTCCCAGAATATATCAAGTCATTTTTAAAAAATCAGGGTTTCGAGAAACCAACCATTATACAATCACAAGGATGGCCTATTGCTTTGAGTGGTCAGAATTTTGTAGGAATTGCACAAACCGGGACTGGCAAAACATTGGCTTACTTGTTACCAGCTGTTGTTCACATTAAGGAGAAAAATGCAAGGAAAGGCTTAGGTCCTATTGTGCTGGTTCTTGCACCAACAAGAGAACTAGCTCGACAAATAGAACAGGTGGCAAAAGCTTTTGAAAGATCCATGAAAATTAAAACACTCTGTGTTTATGGTGGAGCCAGTCGTGCCGTTCAAGCTAGTAAGCTGCAAGAAGGAGTTGATATACTTATTGCTACTCCTGGCAGATTAAATGACTTTATTATGAGCAAAACCGTCTCATTGAGTCGATCAACTTATGTTGTATTAGATGAAGCTGATAGGATGTTGGACATGGGTTTTGAACCTCAAATACGGCAAGCTTTAGAAGGAGTCCCTCTGGAGAGACAAATTTTGATGTTTTCTGCCACTTGGCCTAAAGAAGTGAGACATCTAGCTAAAGACTACTTGGGAGAGTTTGTGCAAGTTAATGTAGGGTCCACTGAACTGTCTGCAAACCACAATATAAAGCAAAATGTCCATATATGTGACACAGATAACAAAATGACCTTGTAAATATCTTGCATTTCTTTTCAATCTAGATATTTCACTGTTACTTGGAAGTTGCATTAAGTATTTTGTATTTTCCAGGTTTCAATCTATAATGCATGAGATTTCTGGTGAAGGATTTGGTAAACTGTTAATTTTCGCGAACACTAAGAAGTTTGTTGATACTCTGGCTCTCACACTCAGAAGAAATGGTTGGCCAGCAGATGGGATTCATGGCGATAAGACTCAGGCCCAAAGAGACAAAATTATTAACAAGTTTAAACATGGTCATGCAAATATTTTAGTTGCAACTGATGTTGCTGCTCGAGGACTTGGTGAGTACAAAATAAATTATGGAAACAGCTACTTACACTTTTTGATTTCATAGTTTGTAATTTCTTACAGTTTCTTATTAATAAATATATAATCTTAATTTCTTCTAGATGTGGATGGCGTTACACATGTGATCAACTATGACTACCCAAACACGTCCGAAGACTACATCCATAGAATAGGCCGCACTGGTCGTCACGAAAACAAAGGGGTGTCTCACACTATCCTCACTGATGAGGACTCGAGGCAAGCCAGCAGTTTGATTGAAGTTCTCAAAGAAGCTAACCAGGTATGTTATTTCTTTATTAAAAAAAATTAAACAGTTTAGGAATTATAAAAATCTTAATCTAAAAAAAATCTTAAAATCCAGAACCCCTCTGTGGTTCGAAACTAGTAGAGCTTTTCTCAGTATATTCACGTGAGTAACCCGCGATTTTACTTAATTTAGTGTCTCACGATAGTTATTATAAAACAAAGAATGCTCATGATTCCAATGACTGCACGGTTGGCGCGGTGGTTGGACTAATGGCTTTCGCGCAACGTGTCGCGGATTCTATTCCTGCACTGAACAACTATTTGTGTGATCCACAGATTGTTGTTCCGAGTCTGGGTGGTTTTTACATATATATAAAATAACGAATATTGTTTCAGGAAATTCCACAGGACTTAGAAGACTTAGCTCGTTCATATGATATATCAAAAATAAAAGAAAAACAGATGAAGGCCAGGCCCAGACAAAATAACTACCAATACGGACAAAATAACAGAAGTTACTTCCAATATGGTCAAAGCAACAAGTTTAACAGATTCAACAAATTCAAAAGCTTTAAATCCAAGAGATATGATGATGATTATGTGTAATTATTTTTATTTAGCCAAATATAGTTCTCTTTGTAACCTGTGTTATAGCTTGTAGTGCAATATAATGTTCTTATTGCTATTTTCGAATTTTATTTTTATCTACCTTACGATTACCCATTTGCCACATATTCGATTCATTAGAAATTCACATCATTTGTAAGAAAAATCTCCCAGAATCCTTATTCTGTCACAAGTTAAGTTGAAGACCTAAATTCAACACCCTCACATTTCCATTATTGATGTGATGCTACCTACCTGACATCCTGACATCCTAACAAAATAATCCTAATTGATCCTAACCAACCACTGATATGTTATAGGTTATATCTTTATTTTTTCATGAAAAGAAGGATGAACTAATAAGGTCACATACACCCGTTAAGAATGGAACCAAGAAGGTTCCATTGGTTCCCACATGGTTCCCACTGTTTATTACCATGGAAACACTGACATTTCACAGCGTCTTACAATCGACAAGGTGATAAACAAGATTTACCTACGAAAGAAAGTAATAAAATAATAATAAATCCAGACACAGTATATTGCACACCATGTTAAAACTTCTGACTTTACCCGAACTCGATACTAAGAGCGTCCTAAATGTTGTGGAAGATAATTTCCGTAAGCTTGGCTTGGTGAGTCGTGCTCCACTCTCTAATTTTGTTCAAAAATAAATAAAAAGTAACCGACCATTGATTACGTGGGTAGCTATTAATTTCAGAAAGCCTACGCCATACGTATGATATACATTGGCGAACATACACTGCCGAAAGAGGAAATTATTCAACATTTCTCGAGGACCATTGAACTTGTGAACTCTACTTACTGTGAGATCAATGTCTACGGATTTCTACTCGTGTACGACAGTTATTTTGTTCATATACTTGAGGTAAGTGTTTATATCTTCTAACCTACATGAAAAGAGCGTACCTATCGAAGTTTGTTTAAAGGTCGGCAACGCATTTCGGACTCATCTAGTGCTTCGGGTGTCCATGGGCGGCATTGTTCGTTTACTATCAGGTGATAGGTCTCGTCTCCTCGTTTGTCTCTTATTCCATAAAAAACGAAAATAACCTGAGAGTTCTTCTTTCGTCCTTCGACGAAATTTTACACTTTTAATAAATAAAAAAATTGGTAAAATAATGCTTAAATTACTTACGAATCTATGCTGCCTACAGTTTAGTCCAAGGAACGTTTTTTATTTATTTTATAGATAGGTAGTTAGTCATGTTTTTTGAGGTAGATTTTAGACTATCTGACACACTAGTTGACGTCAGTCCAAAGCACGGAACGGGCAAAACCACAGAAAACTGCTATAAATAAATAATAACCATCTGGCGAAGAAACAAGCTAAATTATTAGCTATTAAACTAAGCATACCTTTAATTCATCTCTTTACTAAAATTGTAATTTTCTTATGCACCTTTTAAGGGTTCTGAAGACACAATTCACAGGCACTTAAGATTTTTATTCAGACGAGAGGCTAATTGGAAAGCCAAAAAGTCGAATTTGGACCAACCTCTGAATATTGAAAGTGAAACTGAAGGCTTGAATGTCCTAATGGCGGAGAATACGCAGACAGAAGACGAGCCGGAGAGGATAATGTTTAGACGTTTGAAAGTAGTTATGATATACCACTCCATCCGCACGGTAATTTAAAGTCCAGATTTAGATATTTTAGTCTGTTTCGTGGCTTTTCTACTAATCCCACGAGGTAAACCACGTTACGTGGAATTAATATAAAAAATTGAATAGAAAATCATTCATAACTAAGTAGATACCTTACCTATAGTTTATCTATAATTCGTAATTTTGTTCAGTTGCAATTCACCAGCTGGCGTGCAGTGACAGCAAGGCCGCCATCACTTATAGGCAAATTGGATTTGTTTGGAACCCTGCAAGAACATTTGGAGCAACTACGCATCTTCCTAAACAAGATCACTAAAATATGTGCCTTCGTTAAAGCTGACGAAAAAGTAAGGTTTTACCGCTATATTCGTATCAAACTTTCATTAGGTATGTTTTTATTTTTGTTCTGTATATATATATTTAGTATATTTGTTTGGTGCATTGTGTCCGATGCCAAATAAATTATTTTTCTTTCTTTCTGAACTTTATGATTGTTGTTAACATACGAGAAAAATCTAAAGAATTAGGTAGATACTTTCCATTAGTCTATTCTAGTTAAGGGATTGTCAACGATAAGGCCTGCTTGGGCTCCACCAAAAACGGAGACGAATGGAACAGAGACAATTGTTAAAACAGTTGCCTGCGTTATTTACACAACTTCACTTTCCTCAGCTTCAGAGTCTACCCTGAAACTGAGGAAAGTCAATATTAAACAATAAGTAGGTAAGGTACGTGATCCATCATTGAGTCGTTATTTTATCCACAACTCCACTATTATCTTCAAACACGTTGTCTGAACATTAGTCAATGTCATGTTCGTTTCCCCACTATTAATATCTTTGATTCGATAAGTTATAGTTCATCATGAAATTATGTTTGCAGTTATCCTTCGATGGATTAAAGGTAACAGACCCTAAGATGGAAGCTCTGCCCGAAGTTGCTCTGATCGACTTCTTGTTGCAATCTCCTCACATTCTACCACTCCGTGAAACTGCGGCTTTGCATCGTCGTGTCGATGATTTCAAATTCTATTTTGGTAAGCTATCTTTCCTATCTCTACCTCGTGGTATGACTGGAATATCTATTATTTTTTCCTATTTATTTCTATCTTCTTAATTTGCCTGCAGAGGAGGTTTGGCCTTTACCAACTCAGTTCACGCCTCGGTTCCTTTACAAGTTGAAGATAGATGACTCGTTCGTGGAACCTCTCCCTGTAATGCCTTGGGAAGTGGTGAAGAAAGAAGAAGATGAAGATAAGGATGAACGGGAGGAACATACCGATGGCTCGTCCTCTGATTAAATTATTATCAACACTATTTATTTTTTCGCATTACTTTTCTTTTTATTATGTTCTAGTCATTTTTAGTGCTATGTTTTAAAATACACGATATAAGTAGCCATTAAGGTTGTTTTTTTTACATTTACTAGTTGTCGACTGTACCAATATCTATAGGTATCTTGTGACATTATTTTAATAGAAAGTTTAAAACGGTTCGTAAATATTAACGTGTTATAATGGATTTATAAGATTGTTAAATAATAATGTATCTAGCTTGTTAGCTTCTAGGTAAAAGTCTATAGTGACCTATACAATACTTTACTGATAGTTATCTTTCGTGTTTTGCATACACTATCTCATTCCCCATGATAAAAAGCATTGTTGGCAAACTTAGTTCATGTTGTTGCTATAGTAATATTGATTGTGGACAAACAAGTTGTTGAATGTTGTTGATAATCACTGCGAGTGTCATTTGTTAGAAACCCAAAGTAGTGACACAGTGCAATATGGATAAACTAAAAAAGAAAAAGCGAATCAAAAGGCAAACGAGAAAAACTATCGCTGGAATCAAACTGCCGCCTATCGAACCCGTTGAAGGTATTAAAACTATTGTAGATGTAGACCCTGCTTATTATTCTCTGGTCGAAGGACGACCTTTGAAACAGAATAAATCAATACACGAGTACAAAAAACACATAAAAAGTGTGGCCCTAAACAGAACTCTTCACGGATTCCTAGTTGATGAAATTCTCCGCATTGACAGAGAAATTGAAACGGAGCGTAATATTTATGAAACAGCTTACAAGCATTTCGAAGAATACCAGAACAGTTTTGATAAATTCCTCGCAGACGACAATAATAAAACAATTGCTATAATGCAGAAGTCTGATGCATTGGCAAAGGAATTGGCCAATCAAACTGAGAATCATAAGAAGGCTAACTATGATATGGCATCACTTAAGTCCAAATTGCAGTACATTGATGAAACTTTAATGATTTTGTTATCTTTTCAAAATTTTCTTTACAAAGCTTCTCCAATTCTGTGGCAAAATAACAATAACATAAAGTTAGATCTGGATCACCCCGAAATTTTTGTAATGGATTCCGATGTTTTTGTGAAAATTGATCAAGATGCTATTGAGAAGAAACTGCAGAACTTGCCTATGCCACTATTATACTTCGAAACTCCAAAGCAGTTGCTGACAATTTTTGATTTATTAGAAAAACAGAATTTAAATTACTTGCTGTTGACTACAGAATTTAATTCGGAGAAAAATAAATTTTTGAAGACTCTCGATGTTTTGAAAATTAAGTTACGCCAAGAATTAGATTTCATTAAGGAAAAGGTATGTTTAACTCACTCAGTCTGATTTTGTAAAAAATAAATAAACATAACGTCGTTGGCTAGTTATAAACGTTATAGTATAATTATTACCTACCCATGTTTATTTATTTGCAGATCAAAGAAATACAAGATACAATCAAATGGAATGAAGACCGCGAAGCTGAAATTAAGGAAGTTTTCTACAGGATATTAAAGAAAAAAATTAGGAACATTGTGTCGTCAGATATGACCCTACAGATTTTCAATTACGTGGAATTTGCTTATGAACAACTCGTAGCACCAAATGAAACAAAATTTGCTTCTTTAGATATGGCTTTAGCTTTAGAGCGAGAATATGATAACTTGACTTTAAATATTTCCGTGTATGATCTGAATATGATAAAGCAAATTGAAAAAGAAACATACGAACATGGACACATAGAAATAAAGCGAGCTAAGGAAGCCTTTAAACTGTTAAAGGATGTCGATAAACTTTCAAAGCGTTTGAAATCTTCGTATGAACCAACAAGACGAAAAATCTACGAATAATTGTATTTTTGCACAAAACAAGTAATACTTTACACACTAAGCTAATAATAAAGAACAGATATTCCTGTTAATGTTTGTTTGTGGTCCTGATACACTGCTCATTCACTTGTACCAGAATATTGAGCGACCGCCTTGTCGAACTGAACTACGAACAGAACCGAGCATATATCTTAACATTACTTATTACGAACATTTATGAACACTAGCGAACGCTTTAGTTGATCTCTTCATGAACATTTGTCTCGAAGATGTCAGACTTGACTCTAGATTTAAGTTTATTGCCATTAACTATCTCACGCTGATACTCGCCACAATGCAATGTAGAATTCGCAAGAGTGTTCACTACAATACTGAAGTTCATCAGCACCTCAAAGGTTAGAAACGTTACTAAACAGTTTATGTGTACCTACGTTTTAAAATTTCAAATATTTGTACTTACGTATAAATATTTGAAATTTTTGCTGAACGCAAATATTTTGACCCAATTTGACCACATTTGATAAAAAGTGTAATTACTGTTAATTAAGTGTTTTGTTAAGCCTTTTTGTAGCCGATATAGAGATGCTACTATTCTTCGACGAGACATTTTGAAGCATAATGTCATTTTTCATTGCATTTTTCTTTCTAACTGACACAGTTATTGCAGAAGCTTGTAATACTTTTATTTCTATTTTATTTGTAAACTAAAAGATAAAACTTTATATTAATTTACAAATAATTTATAACAATGAGTTGTTTAGAAAAGAAGCGGAAGCCCATGGTTCCTCTAAAGACACTAGATATAATATTCAGACGTCGTTATGTTCCCAACACGCAACATTACTTTACGAATCGTAAACATGCTATGGAGCAGGATAAAAAGCCAAAAAAGCAGATGAAGCCGTTCCGCGTTCCAAAATCTGAAAAGCTGTTGTCGTACATTAAGTACAGTGATCGAAAAGAAAAAGTTACAACAAGAGAAAGATTAGCTCAACCACTATTTCTCAAGGATAATCTAAGAATCGCAGCTACTAGGGATATATCTAGTAGACTGTTTGTTGAAGAACCTCCTGATGATGTTAGAGCAGTTGTGGAAATTCATCCTGAGTTTTATACCGTGATTGAAGGTCGTCCTTTGCGATGTTTTGACGATATCAAAGTTTATCTGAACAATATTCGAGCTTATGCTATGAACCGGCAGCAAATCGGATATCGACGTGACTTGATTCTGAAAATAGAAAAAAGCGACTTTGAAGAATCTGAGCATTACGAAAAGATAGTTGAAAAATTAAAGCAACATATTAAAAACTTTCAAACTTTTCTCACGGAGGATTACAAGAAGGCTTGCTATAAAGTGGCGAGAGCAGAAAAAGTTTACAACACTTTGCTTGCTAAAGACTCTGAGTTTCTAGGGTATGTTTCTAGTTTGACCATTTTGAACAATATTTTGTTTAAACTTGATGCCATAAGAAGAATTTTGAAGACGTACAGAAGTTATTTAATGTTTGTAGCTCCTTTGTCATGGAGACAACAAAATGACGAAACTTTAAGAGGTAGGATAATGTCGATTCAGTTCGAAGCAGGAGAATTTGCTACTGATAACGATTTAGTTGAATCCTTGGACATTGAGAAAACAGTGGAGATGGCTAAAATTGAATTAAAAAACCCACTTCCAGCTTGTCTCTTTTTTCAGAAGCCAGAACAAATGATGTATTTATTCCGTTCGATGGAGCTGCAATCTCGAGAGTATTTAATACAGCTTGCAAAAACCGATGGGCCTAATCGTTCGCTTCGAGACCGCACTAAACGGTTAAAACAGGGGCAGGCACAAGAGGCTGATTATTTCCAATATTATATTGATATTATCAACTTTGAAATATCCCGTGAAAGTTTTAATGAAGAACATTTGCGCGATAAGTTTTACAGAATTTTAAATGAATCTTTTTATGACAGTATTGCGAGTCCAACTACATTAAAATTGAAAATATGTATTGAGTACGTCTACGAACAAGTTTTTGGTAAATGCGAAGAGGGTCATCATAGTTTACATGATCCTCTGAAAATTCTTGAAGTAATGTATGAAGATTATAACTTGCGCCTAGATGCATTAGATTTCCAGACAGTGTGCCAAGCACAGAATGATTTCTTTGCACAAGACTTGAAAATGATGCACAATGCTTATAATGCCCAAAGGGAACTCAGAGCTTTCAGAGAAATGACAAATGCTATGAACAAAGCGTTTTGGCCGCCCGCAAAATTTGTTCGGGCACCTATGAAAAAATTTTTAGATAAAAGAAAGCGATATCAGCTTATGATGTCCGAGAAAAAGAAAACTGAAATTTTAAGTGGAGAACGGTTGAAACCTAAGAAGTATAAGTTATCCATGGAGGAACGCGAGGGCTTACTACTGTTTACTGACTGGTGTGAAGGTATGAATCCGGCTCCCTTCTTAAAAGAATACAATGAATTTGCAAAGCCTGTATTTGAGTGGCAACCTCAAAGATCTAAACAATTCTTACCGTTTTAATATTAAGCACTTTACACGGGTTGTCATTTTATTGTTATATTTTAACATTTGATCTTTTATGTCCTTTGTTATTTCTAATTGATTTAAATTGTTTGTCTGATAATAAAGTGCATTTAATTTAAAAAAAGTTTATTCTTATATACCTACTAAATAAATAAATATCAGGCAATCTAGTCGGTTTAGACGATTTTTAATTGAGTTATTTACATCAAAGGAAGACTTCAAATTGTATTAAAATGCATGAAGACGAGTCACGTACTGTTCTCATTAATATAATAAAACCAAGAAGACTCACAGATAATAATTATAACAATACCGTAAAATTGAAGCGTAGAAATAGCATACAAACTGTAAAAAAACGATTGAAAAAAGCTTCTAGTGTATGTCAGACATGTTTTGTACCTGACATTGAACCTTTACCAGCAGCCACATTGAAAAAGGATGCAGTTTTGTTGCCTTACGTACTCTATACGAGGACACAAGAAAAGGAGATATTCCGGAAACGTATGAATATGGGGTTACGTGACAGTTACAAAGCTGTTTATGCAAAAATTATGAACCGTATTCATATAGATGATCCACCCGACGATGTTCTGACTGTAACAGGCTTCGATCCTGGATTTTTCCAATGCGTCAGTACAACTATTTTATCAAAGTATATAGCTCCATACAAATCCCTCAAATATTCGTTTAACACTCAGTTAAGGTTGAGACAAGAATGTGGTTATCGAAATGACTGTATGTTAAATATTGAATCAAATTTCAAGAGAGAACAGGAAACTTATGATGAAGCTACTCAAAGGTATATGGAACAAGTTAAATATTTCGAAGCTTTCATTTTGGCTGACTATCTCAAGTCTATGGTGTACCTCAATAAATGGGAAGAGTTGGCATTAGCACTGAACAAGGTTAATTTTGAATATCAATGTCTTGCTGCAAAAATGTTTACAATAACTTCGAGGATAGTGGGGCTAGATTACAGGTATGGGCTGCAGCAAAAATATGGGAGATGTTTGTATTACCTCTCGCCTCCAAGTTGGCGGTACAAAAATAGGAACTTTGCTCGATCTGTCGAGATAGAAGCGAAAGGTTTTGATTTTGGGATATCCAAGGAAGAGGATACGTTTAGTGTTATGTTTGAAAAACTGCAAATGGAGTGCTACGGTGGCCTTGTTAAACCAGTTCTATACTTTGATCATGCTGCCGATTTAATGAAATTGTTTGACGGAATAGAGCAACAACATTTGCATCATTTTACGCACGTGGTTCAACTTGCGCCTCACACAACATTTTTAAAGAAAGGAATAAAACTCTTTAATGACATTATTGCTCAGGATAGTGCAGGAATTCTTGCTATAATTAAAGAATTCAAAAAATTGTTAGAATTCAGCGAGGACCAAGGATCCCAGCTGGAGGCAAAATTCTATAAGATAATCAATGGGTTTTTTTACGACTGCGTTGGTGCTCCAGAAGTCTTAAAATTTCAGTTGCACTTAGAATTTTGTTATGAAAAAATACATAATGAAAAACCTATAAATATGGATTTAGTGGGAACAGCTAAGGCTTTAGAAGATTTTTACATGGACTATTCTAAACGGTTGGATGCGGTAACAGGAGAAAAAATAAAAGCCGCTATGGCTGTGTATATTAATTCAGAACGACAGCAATTCAAAGAAGCCAAAGACGCGGCAAAGGAACTACGACAATTCAGACGTTTGGAGCTTACCTTGCTTCGAGCTCATGCGCTACCAAGTACCGTGCAACCAAATTACAACTTTACTAGGAACCTAAGTTTGAGAAAAAAAAAGTTACCCAAAACAAAATGCGAGGAATATAGAAATAGTCTCACTGAAGGTGAATTAGAATATCTGACCTTGTTTACTGATTGGACAGAATTAGAGGATCCTGCTAACTACTTACAATGTCGCAGTATGTCACACGTCGACACAGGACATACTAACAAGAAGTAACATTCTATTACTTTTAGTATTTCAAAAATAAAATACAATATGTTAATGAAAACAGTTTATTTACGGGGTTCAATATGAAAAACGTATATGTATCTCCATAAAACACAATACAATAATACGCAATGTATGTATATAGATACAATAAAACAAATATTATTTAATAACAAAATTTACACGCTCTACACATAAAAATGTTTGGTTTCATGGTATTGACAAATAACTACTTGGAATTTACATATTTACAAAATGGGTACCTAACACAAACTGGTAAAAGCTTCATTCAATATTATGTCTTAACATTAGGTTATACATCTATGAGTAAATAAATAAATAGGTACTAAAACTAAACAAACAAATGATGACAATACTTTCGTCTATCAGAAGTTTAAAGCTTTGACTTGAAATTTTCATCAACGCTATGACGACACGATCAATGGCCTAGGATAGTCTTTCAATTACATCGTTACCTTATCGTTACATATTTAATTTACGAGTACATCTTGTCAGTAACTAGTGATACTCATCCACTCCAGAAAGTAAAAGTGCTAAAGAATTTTACAGAACTCTTTGATGTATCAAAAACAAATGGAGTAATCCAACAGCGATTCGGAAAAGTATTAGATACATAGAAACAATTGTTTTTGAAAGACATATATAATATATATGTTGTTTATTTCGTATGACATATTCCCCTACAGTATTTACAATACGTTTGTTTATTTACAAAAACTTGAAGCTCTTCCAACATAATAACAGTACAAGCCTTTTCATTATTATGTTGTAATAATGCCTATATGACATCACATTAAACGTAGAATTCTTTACTTACTACATTTAGCTACACATAAAAAATAGAGCAAAGAATTTGGGACGAAATCAAGGGGAAGGATCAATGCACAATGAGCTTATATATCGTTTAAAAAGATATATAGAAGCTTACATAAAGATTTCATGTAAGTAGCATTTGACGAAACGTAGAGAATCAGTTTATTATAGAAAAAATGTTATTATTACACAGTAGGTAGGTAGATATTTCGATAGAAGAAAGAAGTTTAACCATTGATAACACCACAAAGGATAATTCACACATGATATAATAGTATAGTATGACATTCAGAAGAATAATCTAGTGAGTTTGCACAGATATTAGGTACTAATTATTAAGATGAAAGTTACATATTATCCTCCAAATGCCCGTCTCTCCATCACACACCAAAGTTACCTAAATACTGTAACACTAATGGTCCCACATAATATTGTGTGTGAGCCACGTTTTGCAAACTATGAAAACCATCTAAAAATTTCGTCGTTGGATTTGCTTATTTAGGCTGACCGCAGAACAAGTGGCCTTGTACAAGCTATAATTTACCATGTATGTAAGCCAGTAGTGGTCATATCAAACGGACATATCTAAATCATTAGTGTAGTCTACCTTTATCTCCCACCTAGCTATTTTCAAAAGAAAATGACTAGTAGTTAATTTAACTTTAATATTCGTTTCCGTCAAAATGTTCAATATAACTTGAGCAACATGATGATGGAATATTTCATAAGACGTTATACATCTATAGTAAAACAATATTTGGTGTTTCTATCTCGGACGTTATAAAATCATCCATACAGTGAGCATTTTAAAATACTTAACGTTCACGAACCGTACCGTTATTAGCGCACGGCCGACTTGTCACAAACACTTGAACGCAACAGTAAACAGTTTATCTGACTCGTTTTTTCTGCAGCTTGGCGAGCTTTCTTCTCTTGAGTATCATCTCATAGAGTGCCTCGAGCCCCTCGTGCAGGCCCTCGCCGGTGATAGCACAAGCCGGCTGCACGTGCCAGGCGTGCGCGTCGCGCGACCCATGCGGCGACGACACCAGCTCATGTAGACCTAATAGTTTTTCCAACTCGCGGGGTTCCTTTGCCCCGGGTAAGTCTTGCTTATTCGCTAGTACAAGAATCGGCACACCCGTATTGTCAGGAGACTTTGCCGTGCGTATTAACTCCATTTTTGCTTCTTCCATTCGTTCTACATCGACGGAGTCTAAAACAAATATGATGCCATCTGTGCACCTGGTGTAGGATTTCCATAGAGGCCGTAATTTTTCTTGGCCACCGACATCCCATACAAGGAAGTTGACACCCTTTGACTTGCCAAGAGTGCCTTTGACTTTTTCGCAGTTGAACCCAATGGTGGGGACGGTGTTGAGGTACTGGTCAAATTTGAGCCGATAAAGTGCAGTGGTCTTGCCAGCAGAGTCCAGCCCTAGCATGACCACGTGCAGCGTGCCCTGCGCAGTAGGTAGCGCGTCGAGCAGGCTCGAGTTCTTGCCCATGTTAGCACCCATACTTCGTAACCGCGCGGCGGTTATCTGACACTGTCGTCCAAGCGCACCATCACGAAATGTTCGTGTCACTCTGAAACGTACAAAAACACAATGTTAGATAACTGTAATATATAGCTCTGATAACATGTCAGCAGTCACAGACTGTCACTATGTAATGCATGAGGTAGTTTATAATAATAATCTATGTGACGATGACCTTAGAGCTCTTGTTCTATTTTCGTTTGTGTATATTGCGCCACACGACTGGCGGAATAATGATGCTTGCCTATTAATATGAAAGGGAACGCTCTTTGTCTATGTTGTAGCACTGCTGGAAGCAGTTTATGTTTCAGTTTATCACCGTATCTGTGAAGTTATCGAGAGTAATATAGTTATGTCAGTGACACGAGAGGCGGCCCAATAGAAAGTGATCAACCTTATGCCCTTCAGACAACTCTTACTTAATTTTAAACAATTTATCACAGTTTCGAAATGTCTTCGAACGAATTGTAGAGAACATAAGCTTTCATTTTATAGCTGATGCGGCAAGATAACAGTCAATGACAGATTTAAGAATTTAAAGAACTTGATAAGCTTTCTAAATGTTTGAAGGAGAGAAATTGAGTTTTATTTTCAAATAGGTTTCTTGCTACTTTATGAAGTCACAGTTGTACTTTAAGTTTAGTGGAGGAATAGGTTCATAGGTTCAATGTAAAGTAACAGTAAATGGGGAGGTGGAGGTGGGAGGGGATCACATTGAGACGAGACAAGATGTCGCCATCGCTCGCGCCCTTTTAATAATTATTCGCGGCAGACGAGTCGACGACTTTTTGCACGGAGGCACGGGCCGGCCCGGTTATGAAGCAAACTTATAATTCAGCTCCAGCATCTCAGCGGTCGACGTAACCCGTAACTATCACGATACAAAGTCCACTTTAGTTCAGTTTCACTGTCAGTTATGTTGGCAAAATTGAGCGATGTGCAGAATACACCTTGCGTGGATAAATTTTGATCTTTTCAACGTGAGGGCAACGACCTAGCACGGTTCAAAGTAGATTATTATTCAGGCTCCTCAGAACTTTATGTAGTGGAGAGTTTCTGTTGAATTTTAATTTGATACTGAAAACTTTACAAGCTTTGAGCTACCACCAGGTATCTGTTTCATTCTTAAAAAAACTACACTACCCAGTTTTTAAATGACTTATAAAACCTAGTCCTTCTATACAGATAATTGTTCAACACGTTTTCCATAACATTCCATACAATGTTCCAATACTCATCAACAGGTGTATAAGTTGTTGTAGGACATCGAAAGTTAACTTCTCTTAATTTCGAGGCCAAATTAATCGCAAGTAGGACTTGAACGTTGGCAGTATCGACCTGTCTATCTTGAAAAACTAGTATTGCAACTTTTGTTTTTATTCGGCCGACTTTGGGAGCCTAACAAAGGTTAGGTCAGTGTGTCTACTTGAGGATTTGATTTGCAATAGCTATACCTACATGCGTTTATCTTTGAAAAAGTTATTTTATCTACATTTAATTCAAGATTGATAAATCAATTAGTTGAGCCGTAGACAATTAGTTAATCTAACTTTAAAACTGTATAACAGTCTTTCAAATATGTAATCATGATTTGTTATACTGAACAGTTTTTATGCTCCATTACTTGAACTAATTGCCAATGTCCTTGTAGGTTCATTTTGAAACTGATCGTTTCTTCAGGACACGAACGGAATTCGTGGTTATTAGGGTATGTTACGGTGTGATTAGCAGGGTCAACGTAACCAAGAGAAAGCATGTGATGCGATGACGGCGGCCCTTTACTTTCTCTGTGCATGATCTGAACCACGCCTAGATGGAAACACGCTTCACTACATCCGCGCCACTTATTAATTTTAAAGCCGTTCAGAAAAAATACTAAATGAAAATGATTATTTAAACACTTTGGGATCAACGTACGTATACAAATACGACATACACGTTTGACAGATGTCGTTTCTGACAGATGTCAACTGCATCGTAGAATAAAGCAAAGAGGCTGAATGGGACGTTAAAAATGCAAAAATATTTCTTTCAATATTTTGAAACAAATCCAGAGCATTTGTTCACCTTTAACATTAAAAACTATTCCATTCCGTTAGTCTCCTTATTGTCAAATGTTATCGTGAACAGTAAACATAACAAAAACAGTGGTAACATTTTCTTTGACCTACAAACGGGGACGCCGTGGTCTTGACCGGGTTTTCAGCATTTGATGTGGAAAATGAATTTACATAATAGATTTAGAGCACTGATAAGGAAGGAAAAGGAATATTCAGATAAGGTACCTACATCTTAATGCATGTATTTGTTTTGGCAGTAAGTAAGTATTAGTTAATGCTATGCAACTTGTAAAATACTCTTAAAAGTAAGTTTTTTTAATTGTTCGTTTAGCGATTATAGAATATTTGAAATGAATAAACATAATACCGCAGTGAATTTTTCTCCAAAAGAACGGCAGACATTTAACAATGAGGTTAATTTGTTCAAGAAATTGTATTCCGGTCACATAGTGCAACTGTTAACGAATTAAAATTAATGTTTCTATGCAGGTACTGTGTCATAAGAGTGTATCGTGCTCATTATTGATATGACTACGTATTATGGCATGTATTTTGGCATTCATGTTCCTGTTATCCTAGGCTGTATATTTTAGCTTCATATGTAGGTACTACCTTAGCGCATCCTTTGTATATCAATCCATCTCAGAATAAAAGGTAACTGTTATGATGAACGCATTATTCAAAATATCTATTTTCTTAAGTATTTTTAAAACAATTAGGTGCACATAAGCCTTAACTGTAAAAAAACAAAGCTTAATTAATAAGAATTAAAAGAGTAATGTTACAACAATAATTTAATTAAATGCATTTAGTGCATACGCATTGAGTTAGCAAGTCATGTAGTCCAGTTAGTCGATGTTCCGCTAGTCAGCCTGGTATGTGCAACAGGTCCGGACAATCCGCATGCAGCTCATGTCCCTGCAGTGTACATGGGGTCACCGTGCCTTGTAATGGTACATTCCTTTTTATTAATGTCATTAAGTATTATGGAACTTCCTAAACCCATTATGTATAAAATATAGATTGACATACATAACGTTGCGTTTATATTTGCCAAAGGATATAAGATTCGTGCAATAGAGAATGAACTTATTAAAGAACATCACAACGAAATCTAGACTCAGTCCTATTCCGGTTATTGAGAATTTTGCAAACAGCAGTTCTTAGTCCGAAGCCACAACCAGTCGCTTTTAGTACCCATTATTACGGACAAATTTGATATTGAAAATTCTTTTTACTAATAATAGCAGAAGGTGGACTTCAGGTACAGTAATGGAGGTCTTAAGTTCGTCAGACCTTTATAATCTTTCGTGCCATTAGATACTCCAAATTCGTGCCCTAAATTTTTACCAAAGCAATTTTTGATAATAGGCCTGAATATACACTTATATGTATGAAAATAAAGCGAAGGACGCTTTTTTTGCGGTTCAGCCTTTTCCGTCCAAATATGTCGTCAGATCTTCCCAAAGTCCTAAGTAAACTAATATCGGCGTCAGAATTACGGTCTTATGTTCCTTAGTAAGCATTTTATTAGTAACTGTGAATGGAATATTGACGATTAGCTGTTTATAGCGTTGGTATAATCTAAATATAGAAATCTCGTCCCGGGATCTTGTTTAATCAATCTCAAATGCAACATAGTATTTAAAGTGCAACACAAAGTATCTTCTATAGCTATCTTGATCTTCTGAACGATCATTGTGTATGCGCACAAATCTAAGAACATCAATAGTTTAAAACCCACTTTTAAAAATTTTGTTACTTCCCTGATAAAATGCAAGCGAAGTGTTGTGCGTATAAAATCGAGCAATTAAATCGGCTTGTGATACAGATCACGTATTTGTCTATCTGACAGGTGAAAGGAGTCTTCTAATCAATCTTATAGGTTGCATATTAAAGCCGTATAAGCCAACCAGCTTAAAATGCAGTTGAATGCGTCGCTAGTGTCTTCATACGAGATACAATTTTGTTCTAGCTTTTACTAGTTCCAATTTTGTCCACCTGAATAGATAAGTTGGTGATGTTGGTATAACAGTATGGTGAGTAATCGATGCAGTGTCTAATGTGCGTAACGGAGTTCCGTAGTGTGTAAGTAATGTGTATGAAGTTCTAATTGATTCACCGCAAGAACTAAATGGAGCGTTCATGTTTGCCGCTTTTATTGAACACGAGTTACAGGAGTTGTTTACAACTTTTGTTCCCATTAATCAGTGCTAGGTAGGTTATTTTATTTGTTAGGAATTAAATACTGACTGGTTGCAAATGTGACTGCTGAGTGAAGAGGTCACGATATAGATGATCATGATCACTGAGTACGGTATTTCATATTATTTCATTGTTATCCAACCAAGGTAATTTTGTCACATAAATCTTTACCTCTTTCAATGTTTTAATGAGTTTTAAACTTAGATCCAAATTCGATTCAAGAAGATTAAAGATATTCACTTAGGCACATTACTAACTTGATTAATTAGTAAGTATTAATAGAGTATCAATGGAACTTGTACGCCTCTCTTGTAACGGAATTAATTTAATAGTAGAATTCTCGCAGAACCTCTTAGCGCTTCGTTCCAAGGAGCACCCTTTATTAGAATTTGCGCGCGAAACTTTTACGACATCACCCAACTTCGTGTTGAAGTAATGTTGAAAATTTAGTTGATTTTGTTGTGAAATCTTAGACTAAAGTTTTTTGTTATTAAGAGCTAAGTAATATAACAAGTCTGTGAAGTTGCTAAGTGTTATTTTTTTTATTAAATCTGTCCAAAAAGAAAAGTTAGCAGTGAAAGTACCTACGTTTTAATCTAAGCTCTACGTTTTAGGTAATTAGGGTTATTTAGGGATAGAAATATTCACATTAATCTTACTGCATAAATATCTAGAGTTCCTATTCAACCAGACTTGGGAACTGTGTCATTCCACATGAAGTCGTCCAAACTACATTTGAGATCTGACCTACATATTAGTTAGTTCTGTCGGGATAGAGACGAATGCTACAATGAGTCCCCGTATCGAACTGGACAAGGTATGAAATGGAGCCATTGCCTACTAAGCTTCTATGCTCTTATTTCTCTTTAAACTATACTATAATTATACTTTCAATATTATCTTCATAATCATCTAAATCTTTCTTTGATACTGTTTAACGGTTTTGAGCCAAGTGCGATTGGTGTTGGTGTGATGACGTCTATTTCTGAATGACGCATGACATCAATGTATTCGCGACAAGCTTTGTGTTAAAATAGCTTCCAGCTGTTTTTACAAGAATCTGTTTATTGTAATAATTACAGAATTTAGTTGTATGCAAATTGGTCATCAATAAATTTAGATTTCTTAAGCATTTCGGGTTGTGATTTTTGCATTGTCTAGATGGCGCTAGTGACGAGAAATGCGTTTTTCTTTTAACTCAGAATATAGTAATCAGAAGTACGTTCCAGTAATCTGTTACCCCAATATTCTGATACCATTTTATTTTATTGACCTTTTTAGTGATATAGATTAGGATTTTTACTTACATTTTTTAATATATTTAATTTGATGTCTTTCTAAGCCAGTCTTCAGTCTTCAACACTCTTAGTACCTGTAACAAAAAATGACCTTCAATTAGTATTGCTAACATTTTTGTATTAAAATACGGAATAAATAAAATACCTATGCAACTTTAATTTCCGTAACGGGCAATTAATCTAATTATATTAATTCTTTAACTATGAATAGACAAGGTTATTTTAGTTTAAACGTTATATTATAGGAGTTTGCGGAACTAAGAGATTTCGTACTAATTTTGAAAAGGTCTTAATTTTTGAAGCCTTGTTTCCTTAAAATCAGAAGATGGTATGTGCAAAACGTACGGTGTTAATAAAAACCAAAATGAGACATTTTTAGGTTTTCTATATTTTCTCTTCGGGCAAAGAGAAATGATGTTGAAACAAGGGGCATGTATCAATATTAGCAATGATACAAAATGTCTGTGGAAGTAGAAATAAATCCAAATACCTAATGTGAACGAAGCCTTTCCAGTTGGCCTAGTATTCCAATTCTACTCGTGTGTAGACTGTGTAGGTATGTTAAATAATTTCTCTGGAGAAGATATTTACTTACAGAGCCTCTAATAAAACCTTTGCCCCCACACCACACCTCCATACATTGTGAATTTAATTGTCTGCCTCTAAGAGCCCATGAGCTATTTCCAGTTATTTTCTGCTTACTCATATCATTTTCAGGCTTCTTTAATGGAAGGCCTGTTAAAAGTAATAATTTCTTCGAAATTCTTGTCTTATCAAATGTTATACAAGTAGTTACACATGTTAAAGAGACTAACTAAATACATTGCCTCTCCATTAATTCTCTAGGAGATCAAGTTGAGGAATTTGATAAGGTAAAGTGTACTCTAGTTCTATTGTGATAGAGTGAGTTTATCATTAACCTCAGGACACAAACCCAAACTCTGAAAAATCATTACTTATAATACTTTTCCCGACAAAGAGAGAAGAGGTGGAATTTTGATTACCCTCCGTTGAAATGACGTTGGCATATAAATCTGTAGTGGGAACATAATAGTTTCATGAAGGTAACTGGTGCACCGTCGACGGATGGTAATTTCCTACGTTGGTAATGAAGGACGGGGGCCCCGCCCAGCGGAACTCAAGTGCGGAAGGATGCAATGAAAATCATTGAGTATGCGGGTCATTCTGTTCGTGCCAATAACCTTTTAGAACTCATAGCCTGTGAAACTATAGGGGTTATAGGAAGATAAACAGGAATCCTGAATATTATCAGAAAACTGAAACGTGAAATTAAATTAAATTCAGTGGTACCTATCACAGCGCTTGAATTACTAGCAATATTAGGTTTTGGAAATTACACGACACGTGTTTGACATAGAAATAAAACATGTCGTTAAGAAAGGTAAGTGCTATCTTTTCTCCATCTCCCGTCCTACCCAACACATTTCATATAATTATTTTCACGAATGGAAAAAACATCGGCTAGTGGGTAGTGGCTTGTGGATAGCAATTTCCGTTTCTTTCACCAGTGGGCATTTTAATGAAAGACGTGTATTCCCGGCGATGGCCAACGGCCCACGCCAACGGCGAAGACCGGAGGGAGCTTGCAAATTATGTTTACGCGGAACTGCTTCTGTTATTGAAAACTGCTAGACATAACTTATAGATGATATAGAGTTCTGTCAAGAACTCAACAAAAAGTAGTAAAAAGTGTAGTATAGTACAAGGTCGTGTTTAGTGTTAATAATGTTTAGTTTAAAGCAGTGTAAAACAGACTTTTATTTAAAAGAGTATCGAATGGTGTTTCTTGTAGTAGGGGAGCCCACGATGCTAAATTGGGATTTACTTGAGCGTCCTTGGGACCTACTGGATTTTGAAGATATGCTGATAGAAAGAAGAAATGGTTTAGTGACAATTTCTTCCACCAGTGGGGGAAGGGGGAATCTACAGATCTTTGAAATTGTTAAGCGTAACTTTTGTTCTAGTGGTCGAGCGTGTCAGATATTGATAATGTACATGCTCCATGTGTATTTAATAATAAAAAACTCTTAATCTGCCAGTTTGCATGGTGGGGTTGAATGTTCTGGAGAGTACAAACGAGAACCCTTCAAAATCCCCCCACTCTTGCAAATCAAGTTGGAATGGGCAGATTTTTTAAACGCACTTCCTTTAGCACGGTATTGATCTACCGTCCCTTAATCTGACGAAACTGACTTTATTTAGTCAGACTTTTTTTTTAATTTTCAGTCCCCCCCTTCTGATCAGATCGGATATATGTTGGGTATATTCAACATGACACTAGGTTTTCCCCATATGTTAATCTGACGCGCTCGAGTAACTACCGAAATCCCTTCATGGGCTCCCCTACTATTGCTCGTTCTTCTCCACTCGAATCGACATTTTGGAACGAGCGTCTAGCTCTACTGACGAACAGACTGACAGACTATTATTTATTTCATATTGACGTTTCAAAAGTACCAAATTATGGTTTAATTGAAATACCTAAATGCTTTTGAGTTTGAGCTTAATGATCTGTTTAATTTGTGTAATAGTCAGAAAGACAACTGTCCTCGATATGGAGTGTTAGCCTGATATAAATAGCTGGTGGGTATTTCTGAAGGGATTAGCAGGAGTCCTAATCTTACATACATAAAAATGAATGCCTTTTTCCCTTGGCATCACGCGTGAATGGCTGGACCGATTTCACTAACTCTTTTTTTGTTGTATTTGTTATTATTAGGAGAAGGTTCTTAAGACAGAAAAAAATCCTGAAAATCCTACGGGAACGGGAGAAACGGGATTGCACGTACGAAGTCGCGGGCAGAAGCTAGTCAGGAATAAAAGTATGTTCTCATCTATCAAACCAAAAATATCTTACAAAGTAGCAATGTCGTACTGGTCTATGGCACAACATGGAACGAAATAAATATGACATTAATTACCTAAAACTTATTACCTACATCTTGCAGACATCGACAATTTCTCACTAATTACAAAAGTATTAATTACAAATTGTTTAATTCGTTTCGATTATTCACTTGTGTATTGGTGTCAGAGATATCGTAATCGATTCTTGTTGCGAGGTTCGGTTACATTGGAATACGATACGACATATCGATTTTATTAACATGTAAGTACTGGACATTTTATATCTATCTACGTGTCATGTGGACTGTGCATTGATCCTTTACAACAAATGCCTCTTTGCATTGCAGTTCTAGTACTTATAACTAGCTTTATGTTCCAGTTCTTTGGTTTGTCCTTTCTTCGTAAGCAAAGGGGAGTAAGGTCACTTTTTGATATTCGTTACATCCCTTGGAATTGAGATGAGCCTAATGCGAATATATACAGCATATTTATTGTTAGATTTAGAAGTTATGACAATCTAACTAAAACCATTTATAAATAATCGTTTATGTAGATGTAACAAATATCCTAATTACACTTTCAGCAGAATTACCGGATAGCGATCTTTATAAGACTTCCGCTATTAGTACAAATTGCATACTGTTCCTACTTAAAGTCTATTAAGGAAATGAAGACCTTGTCTGCCCAGGCTCCTACGACTTAGGTTCCTAATGCTCTAAGGTTATTCAGATTTAGAATAGAATGGCTTAAAGTGATTTGGTTCTTACAAATAAGGTTTAACCAAGCCTCGTCAAAAATCGAGGGCTTTTTATGGTACACACGCCAAATCCCTTCATAAAGACACAGAAGGCCTTTGTCTATTTTTGTTTCATTTGTCTTCAAAAGTTTTAAGATTGATTCAGCCTGAGCCCACTCACTGTGTACGTAGGTCGCGCTTAATTAATGGTAACATTTTAAGCAAACAGCAGCCATGTTTGACTGTGACAATATTAGGTAATATGAAAGCGCTCGTAATTACGCAGAGAGAACCAGAGGCTGTTACAACAGTAAAATTTGTACCTAAAACACTTATCACGATTTGCCAGGAGGACGCTAAAAACGCAAATATATAGGTTTATTGTCGAATCACACGTTAAATATTGATAGAAATTTGGCCACGAGTCAGCAAAAAATTATTTTTACAGTTAAATGAATGCCATACAAATGACACTATAGAAAGCTGTAATATTTATAACCAATTCGTGGTGAAATAAGGAACTAAATAGCAAAGTATTGAATTTGACACATTTTTGACATTTGTCGCAGCGAGCAGCACCGCAATGGAATATCAAGATAAACTGGCTACAGCGTTGTCATGTCGCCAACTTGTTCTGATGCCATTGTTAGTAAGCGATATAATTCTTTGTTCGTGAGATTTTTTGATGAATTTCTGAGATAGGCAAGTACTTAATGAACGTTCTTATCTTATTTACAAAATTGTTCTCGCTAACTAAGCGATGAATCTTAATGTAATTTTCTCTTGTTATTCAACGTGGATATTATCAAGATTATGTTTGAACTTTAGGCGTGATTATTATTACAATAATATTAAGTCACTTGCTATGCCAACGCACGTTTGACAAATCCTGCGTAGGTACATGATTTCCATTTTCGCCTCCACTGACTACTAGGCTTTACGTATAAGGAGCCCTGATGTGAATATTGTGAATATGAAGTCTACTTAGTTCCATAGTAGGCATTACTGCCAAATGGCCGGAAATTGTCTGTTAATTAATATAAATCGAATACAGAGATAAATTAATTTATTTATCCTAATTTCATTTCAGTTTCCAGAGCGTCCCGCTCCAAAGCATTTCCAAGGAAAATTCAATTTGCTGTGTTAGGAAAATTACAACTAAAACCACTACAAAGACTTGAAATTAGTAACAACTAAGTTTAGAAACCAATTTCGTAAGCCATGACGTAGGTATATGTTTGTCTCGATAATTAACTATTTGAAATGTCTGACGTGAGTGACGTCATTTAAAAAATCTTCGCGACAAAACGGTTGGCACGAGATCATAGAGTAGTTAACGGATTCCATTTCATTTTCCTGTCCACCTGGGGCGTCACGACCGTGGAGAACGCAAGCAAAAACCAGCCTTGTGAGGCTATCTTCCCACTGACACGTGGTCTGCACTATACTACTACTTTCATATTGTTTGTT